TTTTTTTTTTTTTTTTTTTTTTTTTTTTTTGAGGAAAATTTCAGTAACAACAAGCAGCTACTGGCGTTGGGAGAAGAAATCTGGTAGAAGGAAAGGAGGTGGAGGGGCAATAACAAAATTTCTTCCCGCAAAAGAGGGCAATTAACCAAAGAATTTTAAAAAGTGCTAACTATAAACAATAGATTTTTTTTTTATTACAGCAATAGTTTAGCAGATTAGCTTCCGCATTTGTTGAAAAAACTGACAATTTTGTTGTCAATAATCAAGCAGTAAAGATTTGAACCTTCTAATTTGTTAAGAATGACAATAACAACAACAAAAACACCACCTCCACCACCAACAACAACAGCAGCAAAAAAATCTGCCAAAAATTTTAAGATAATTAATCAAAATTTTCTCCATTTTTTCTAACTCTTCTCTCCTTCTTCTTTGCCTACTATTCATTTTTTTTTTACTGCTTTAAACTGCTGTCACAAATGATTTTTTTGTGATTTCTTGTCTACAATTTAATGTTCTTTTATACATAACACTGAAACAGAAGCATAAGATACTTAAATGAAGAAACCATCTAGAAAGCTTTGGCGACGTTTTTACTTGTGTTGTTCAATTATAAAAAACGAAAATAAAAATAAGCAAAAAAAAGAAAAAAATGAACAGAATTTAAAAACTAAAAAAGCAACAAAAAACGATTGAATGCTGAAATAAAATGTAAACAGTTGAAACCATTCTAACAGCGTTTAAGAAACAAATTTGATCAAATTTTCAGAAAAAAATCAGCAAAGAAATAAAGCATTAGTTTTAACTGACAGCTAATATCTGTTCATTTTTCCACTATTTTAGACAGTCAAATATGTTGCAACTGTCGAAATAGCAATTTTTTCTTTCTCCCACACTAAGCATAAAATAACAATAGATTTATTTAGATTGCCTGTTCATTACCACTCCTCCTCCTCCTCCTCCTCCTCATCTTCCTCCTCTTCTCAATTTTCAAGAATTTGCCGCTATTTTTAAACAATCAAGTAGTTGCATTGTTTTTTTTTTTCATCTTATGATTGAATGATAAGATATAAAGACATGAATGAGTAATGTAATCGAGAACAGGTGTTAGAAAATTATTTTCGCTATGAATCGACAGCATAAGACAATAAAGAAATGAAGCAAAAGAAATAAATACATTGTAAAAACTGCCTCGTCTCACCTCCCTCAAAGAATATTATCAAATCAAAAGTTCAGGGAATGGTAATATTTTTATTGTCGTTAATGTAGTTTTCATAAAACTTTCTTTCTGATCTTGCCAAACAGATTCTAGAAGCTTAAAACAGCTTTTACTTTCCCCGTCCCATCAATTAGCATAAAAAGAAAACCAATGTACTTGGTAATTTTTTGGCTGCTTTTCGCTTTCATTTCCCTTACTGTTCGTTACAACTTTTCACTTTTGAAAGTTCCATTTTTTTGAACATTGAATTATACTGTTAACAACATAAACTGTGAAATGGAAAAAAAAATAATTCAGTTTTTTTTCCATCCTCCAATGCAACAAATCGTTCTTTTAAAGGCAAAATTTCTGTTTCTTTTGTTACTTTTTTTAAGGTTGCAGCAGCTTATTTTTCTTTTTCTTTCTTTTGGTCAACATTTTAATCGAAGAATTTACGTAATAAAAACGAAAAAAAAAAAGCAGAAAAAAGCAAAACGAAACAAAAGAAGGAAAAAAAAAGAAAAGGTTTTGCCTACTTATTGCTGAATAATTTAGAAAGGTTATTGCCTACAAGAAGAAAAGACCAAATTTATTAAAAACGAAAAAAAAAAAAGAAAAAAGAAAAAAACTGAATTAAGAAATGAAACCTAAACTTACTTTGTACGTATAATTTGAGAAGATTTTCAGTTGAAACAGATAAGAAATAAACGAAACAAACTGAAAAAAAGTATTAACTTTCTTTCTTTTCAGTTTTTCCTTCCTTCTCCTCCACAAAAAAACTTTTATTTTATTCAGCGAACAGCTCAAAATCAAAGCTTTAATTATTCTTTACTTTGCCTAAAAAATAAGACAATTAATAAATTTTTGAATATTACTGTTTATTTCAACTTCTTTTTCTGTTTCCTCTACTGTAAAGCAGCATTTTATAAGAAGAGTCAGTAAAAGAAAACAGAGAAGAATAACAAATACTGTTATCATCATTATTGTTATTATTGTCATTGATATTGGCATCAGTAGGTACCTCTTAACCGCATTATTCAACGCTGTACAGTCAACTTCCTCAGTTAACAACGGCAACAACAGCCCCCAATAACAACAGCAACATTAATCGTAAAACAAATAACTCAATAAACTGTTACTTTATAAGAAACAAATCTCTTTCCGCTTGAAATTTAAGTATTAAAAAAGTTTACAGATTATAAACAGAGGACCAAAGATGATTGAAGTGGGGAACTAAGCTCTATAGCCTTTCATTATAGTACATTACCAAGTGCGATAAAACTTTTAAATTTTCGTTTTTGTCGTTTTCTTCTTCCTCTTCATCCTCAATTTCAGCTTCTCCCTTTTTTTCACTTAACTAGAAAAAACTGCTCAATATAATATTTAAAATATGCAGAAATGAAAATATTAAAAAATTTTTCTCTTATATCCCCTCACCTACTCATTTGAATACAACTTTAATTTATTTCCTTTCAACTCCTCTCTTATGACT